CCCCGCCGCGACCGCGCGTCTCCGCCCGCCTCCAGCGCCGCGCGCCACCCAACCGTCGCCGCCCGGCCGGCGCGCCGAGGCTGCTCCGCTCCCCGCCAACAAAACACCTCCTTCCGCTCATCCTGACCCTGTCTCCGCATTCTCCCCCGCGCCGCCGCCTCGTCCCCCGGGGAAACGGCGGCTCCTCCCGCCCGGCGGAACCCCGCGGGTGCCGGGCTTCCCCGCCAACTTTACCATCTCCGATTATGCTGAAGTGCAAACGAGTGAGGCAGAGAAAAGGCCAGTCGGACACAAGCGAGATCCCGCCGCCTACTCCTCCGTCGCACCGCGATTCAAACTGCGCTGTCTCCCGCCTTCCCCGCGCCCTTTATACTGCAGAATGTTCCCTCATCCGGGAACTCGGCTGGCTCAGCCCACCAATGGCCGCCGCCCGCCCTCGGGACGCGTCCTTGAGGCTTCGCCCAATGAGCGAGCGAGAAACAGGGCGGTGGGGCGGGTTCTCGCCAGCTCGAGAGCAGATTGGCTCTTGTGGAAGGCTGCCCTGGTGAGGGGGGAGGGTGACGGTGGAGGAGTAGGGCTCCGAGTCTGGAGGGAAGAAACAGAGGGCCTGTGCAGCGGAGCCGGGGGATCCGGAGGCCGCGTCATGTGCCTGAAGGCGGAGCTGAGAGGCTTGGGGACCCGCGCGCGGTTGCGTCGCCCCCACCGCAGCCCTGTCCCCTGGCGGGCCTAGAGACCACGTGGGCTCTCCTTCTGGTCTAGCCTGGCCCCTCCACCCGCAGCTGTGACCCAGCTCCTTGCAGACCGCTGGGCCTGGTTGCAGTCTTCCTCCGGGCCTGGCCGTCCTTCTTCGCCTTCTCGGTTCCCCGAGGCTCCTCTCTTCTGACAGGTGGCGCGAAGGCTTCCCGGGAGGCTGGGGTCTGCCTCTGCTTCTCAGGAACCACAGGCGTGATGGACGATCCTACCTGAGGATCCCCAGCCTTTGCACCCTCACCTTCCCACTTCGCCCCATGACAACAGACGATGGGGCCAAGTCATCCTGCCGGTTACAAAAGATCATTGTGTCTACACACGCGTCTTGGGGTGACTCGGTAGTCATTTCTTTAATGAAATCCCCTGCCATTTTTCTGGAGACCATCAATTGGTTTTACCCGTAGCCTAGTATCTAAAGTTGATTTACTGAAACATCAAAGCTATTATGTGTCAGCTTTTCTACACTAAGCATTTTGCTACATGACAAATGTTCAGTAAATGTCAGTGGGGTAACTGTAACATGATTCACAAGCAGTTACAGATGGTCCATGTAATCAATTACAAATGGTGGGCTTAAAAAATAGGACTGTACGCACAGTTCTATCCTAATGCCAGGTACTTAGACTTCCAGCTAACAGACTGACACCTCTGTATGTCACCAGCTGCTTGGGGACAGTAGGGATCTAAATCATATTTATAGTTCTTAACATTATTATAGTTTAAAAAAAAACTTTTTTAGTGTGTGTGTGAGCAGGTGTGCAGGGCTTGATGTTTGCTCAGAGATCAGAGGACAGCTTTGTGGAGTGAGTTCCTGGGATCAACTCGGGTCATCAGGCTTGCATAGCAAGTGCTTTTACCTTGAGTCATCTCACCGCCCTACAGTATATTATACTTTTAGCATAATTGAATAGTTGTAATGCAAAGAGAATTTTGAAGGATAAACTCTAAAAATACTTCATATTGGGTTTCAGTTTGAAAGATTTTTGTTTAGTTTTGGTTTTGATTTTTTTTTTTTTTTTGAAAAAATCTCTCACTATGTACTCCTGGCTCCCCTGGAACTCGATTTGTAGAGGCGGGTCGCCTCAAACCCCGAGAGCACCCACCGTCTTTTTCTCCCCAT